GATGTCGCGGGAAATCAGGTAGGGTAACTTGCAGTGTGAGTCACCAGTCGGCATTTTTTAGGCTACGAAGCTAGGACAGCCGTTTTGGAGTATCCATAAATTAGTTATCTTGGGTGCGCTATGTAATAATCGTGAAAAAGTTCACTCAATACGAAGAGCTTGACAGCTTCTGCCGGTAGGGAAAGCAAAGACTCCCTGAGCTTAATCCCAGTACTCAAGTCAGCTCGAATCACCAATAAACATAGAAAAACCACACAAAGGCAAACATGTCATTGTTTTTCCTGTTTGAGGTTCTGAAATGTACATTATATGTTTTCACAGATGGTGCGATTTGCCTCATTGTAGGTACCAGTAAGTTATCCCACCGGAAATATATCTTGACAGCAAGTTGGGGGATATTCGCTCATGCCAAAATATAACAGATCAAACGAACATAGATGTCGACAACAAAAAGTTTCCCAGAGGATTAATCCATGTAGCGACGATGCCAAATAACGGATAAAATCATGACGGTTCGTAGTATTCCTCAGCGTAATGACATTTGGATAATGGATCCCCCGCGGGCAATAGTTCACTTTTCGCACACAAGGTCACTACTATGATAATGCCGAAAATCACCCGTCCCTAATCAGTGTTTTCGATTTTGTAGCTGTTACTTCTTTTTTCGACGTGTCGTATAGCACAGGAAGTTATGGCCCGAGAGGGTGCACACGGTGTGCATTTGGGTGGGACCTCAGGCATTCAGCTGCACTCGCTCACACAAGTACCTCCATATCGAACTGCATGTATACCGCTTTAAAGATGTTGCACACGAAGATCTGTGAAGCTCAAATACGCAAGAACTGAGCGATATATTTTCTTGGTTTGCAGCTGGTATTTCAGTCGAACGCAGGCAAAAAAAGTGAAAAATTTGCAAAAAACGAAGCGAAAAAGATTCGTATTCAACTTGTATGTGGCACTGCATTAGGAACTTCACCGTTCATCCACTTGCCAAACAAATCGCTGACAATATCAGCGAAGTTCAGGAAGCTCCTGAAGCCCGACACTTCTCAAGTTGAACTGGGAATGAGGTCGCCCCACACTTGGCTCATCGACGCGGGCCCTTCCAATTTGGACGCCACTTTGTGTCGTGGCAGTAATGGATCCCTTGAACGCCAGCACGGTTGTTAACGCAACTTTAAATGCAACAGCAGAGAACATTCCACTCAGCGGAATGGTTTTGTCTTCCTCCGTACTGTTTATTTTGGCTATCGTGCCAATATATTTTGGATCGTTCATGTCTCAGAACTGCCGCGATAAGGTAATTTAATTTTCACTCACGGCTGTTATCGGCCAGGCAAATGTGGAAGTAATTACTGCACGTGACGCAGCCACCTTTCCTGCCTATGCAAGCGCGGCATTATTCGGTGTTTTCTTACTATTCAAGGTTAGCCGTGAGTTCGTGTCGTCGTTATTCAGCAAGTAGTTCGTTCCGAAGGAGTACATTAACTTGGTAGTCAATCTCCACCTATCTTTCATCGGTATCGGATGCATGTTCCACGTATTTTCGTAAGTTATCACATTTCATATCATTCGTCTGTAGTCCGACCCTTAGTCGGCTATTCCCGAAGTCGATAAAGAACCATATGTTCAAAGCGGAATTTTCAAAAAGTCGGGAAACTGAGTCAGGGGACACGGGATCGCACTGGGAAGTATTAAGTAACCTTTTATATGCGGAGATTTTGATATGTGAATCTTAGGTACATCGTCCGTGAGCCTGGAAAGCAAAGAGATAGCAGGATTAGTTGTGGCTGCTGGAGTCGGGGCTGTTTATTTTTTCACTCGGGTAGCATGTTAAATTTTATCGAATAAATTCCAGCATTGGCTTCCTAATAACTTCCTTGCCGTGTGTCTATCACTTGTGGCGATTGAAAATATCAGGCTCAACAAATTTGCGAACGGATTCATGTTGCTCGGTGGTCTATTCTTCTACGATATATTCTGGGTATGTCGTGTTTCTTGTTTTCTGAATTTTGTATCCAGGTTTTTGGTACACCAGTTATGGTCTCTGTCGCCAAAACTCTGGATGCTCCAATCAAAGGTGAGTTGTGTATCTGCATTATTTTTCATACGCCAATTAGTATAGTCAAACCCTAAGTGGTTAAGGCGTTTCCCCGGTCCATCACTTGTACGGACTTCGATGCTTTTTGCCTACTTTCTGGGATACCTCCGGGTAATTCTTCTCTAGGGAAATTATTCCAGTTGGGAGGATCGACTGCATAGTGTTGAGTGTGATGCAACGTCATCATTAATGAAATTACTGGATTCATGGATAAGTGGAAAGCAGGTCCCTTGCGATCCCCTTCCCCGTACTTCACAGCGTCACCCATCGTAGCTCCCTTTTTTTCTTTCAGGTCGCAAAGCCAACCACCTTTCAATACATTCCACCCGTTGGGCAGTAACCACAGCTTCAGGAAGACCGTTCTAGTCATCCATTACTAGGATGAGCATAGTTGCTCCCCTATTCAGCTATAAGCTCCGTGGATTATCAAGTGTCCGACGTTACTCCCATGTCGAACCTTCCTTGTTGAGGGTAAATTGTGAATGTCATGTTTACCCTCATGTTACAACCATGGGGATAAATTAATTAAGATATTCAACATTTCCTTGAGTGTTCCACCCCGTGTAGATCAAGTCATCAAGCCGATAGTTGTAGATCAGGCAGAACAATCCCGTTTGCTGAAGACCTATGGGCCGCATGGTAGTTTTCATGGCACGAAGTTAAACTCCTGGCATGTTTCGTGTTTGTTGCAGGAGGACTCGGCAGTCCGCGTCCTGAGATTGAATGCACGTGAAAAGTAAGAATCTTGGGGATTCTCAGGGCTCATTTGAATGAAGAATCCAACTAGGCAAAAGTTCCCTGTGGCAGTAGCCGTCTTTTTTCGCAGGGTCCTGGGTGGTTTTTGGTCCGACTTTCTGGTCCTCGCTGATTTTCTAACTGGAATCCTGCAATATAACGGGTACCATGCACAGGTTAGTCGATAGTGGTCGTTCAGCTGCAACGACCTTTCGGTGCCTAGCCGCCATACCACCCCAAAGAAGCACGAGGACAGGGATACTGCCATGTTGCTCAAGCCTAAACAGGGGAAGTCGACAGACGGAGGTCGAGTTCTAAATACAGACCTTCCGGTCAGTAAATTCGCGCTCTATCCACTGAGTCATCTCGCACAGGTTACAAAGACAACACTTGGATATTGGGGTTTTTCACTCGGCATGCTATTCCAAAGCCTTGAGCCACTCATCTGACTCAGTAATGAATACTTCAGGCGGAGCTTTCATATCATCAGCCTACAGTAAGCAACCGCGATTTGGAGCTTTGAGCAAATCAGCGCTGAATAATTTGAAGGGTTCATGTCCAGGAACAAAACCTTGGTGGATCGCGCTGGACATCAGAACTGGTTTGGAACAAATCTCTTTTATTCGGACACGCATGGTAATACATTTCAGAAAGTCTACAGTCCAGGACAGAAGCTTCCCAGGCCGCAGCACCTCAACGCAGGAGTCGCTCGAGGCATCTACTGAAGCCTACAGATATACAGTTGGCTGTGGGGATTCGGATTCGACCAATGTGATCTCGGTATGTTGGAGGACGATAGCTGAGGTTCGTTAACCTCAATTTCATGCACAACCTCACGAAGAGAACTTTTTAGGTTAACTCTAACCAGATTTGAGTTAAGCGAACGATGACATTAGGAAACTGGCACTGATGCGACTGCGACCTAACCAACACCGCTGGTCGACCTTTGAGTGTTGCAATAATCGCGTGGATTGAACCTCGTTCCTCAAGGTGCAACCATGTCATGGTCAGGGGGCAATCAGTGGCGAGCCACCGCATGAAGACTAGCTAATAGGGGGGTATCCAGGAGTAGTCTTACTGTTCTATGCTAGGAGGTTCCTCTAGGTGACCAGCCCCTCGATATTTATAGAAGCTGTGATTCTTCCTTCATCCGAGGAAAAGTGCGTTAAAAATAACCAGTCCTATAAACCACACAATCCAGTCGCTCAACGATTGACCGTGGCCGCCGGGGCATTGTCCAATGTGTCCAAGGGCTCCACATGAATCTGCTACGCGCAACAACATCAACGAGGGCGTAACGGTTATACCTTACTCCCTACGGCCTTAGATTAGGCCAGTCCACCGCAGCCAAGCGGGTGACTATCCAGTCATTGGATATGGGTAAGGTTCTTAGTCGAAGACCCTAGTACCCATTACCTCTTATTCAGACTCCTAAGTCAAAGCTCAGTCAACCTCCATTCGGCCCTGGCAAAAGGAAGAGTTATTTGTCCTTCATCATCAGAGACAGCAACATCGGTGTTGACACCGATGCTTGACTACCATACGACCACAACGTTCACTTCAGTGTGCATGATGCGTTGAAGTGAAGTTTAAACAAGGATGGAGAATGAAAGTGGTGCTAGCCTGTCAGGAGCATTCTTAGGTAACTACACCTTCAGTTGCGCAGTTAGGAAATCTTGCCTTCTCCAGCCGAACGCAGTGTGACTCCATTCTATTAGGCGGACCGCATCAACAATACCCGGTCTTCGTAATCCTTTTAACGCCCATTTTGCCAGATCACACGTTTTCCGCCTCGCGGTTTGCAATTCTGAAGGGGGCAAGCAGAACAATACTCGTTTCAGTAGAGACGTCTCAGCGTACGTAGCACATGACCGAGCGGTGACAACTAATGGTGCTAGACGTTTCCGCGATTTAAGTGCTTTCTGCTGGACTAAACACCCGTTTTCTAATTACGTTACAAATTTGTTGACGCCATCCGACACTAGCAACGTATGTAAGATTCGGTAGTAAAAAACATGAGGTCACCTCACATATATCCGCAAAGACCAATTCTCACAACAATAGCCCCTACTATGGCCTGGTACAAGCGAAGCTAATTCAGTTCAATTTATCAGCTCTGAACCGTCTGCCATAGGCAGATTGGTTCCAGCTGCTACAGTTTCGATAACCGGAAAACGGGAAGTTGGAACATACAACCAAGCCTTGGAAACGAAGCCATATTCAGTTTGTTCGGAAATTGGTTAGCTACACATTGAAGGCGATAGCTTTGATGCATGAGCGCCATGGACTGCGCCATTGGGCGATTTCTGCCAGTGTCAATAACCATTAGTGAGATGAGCCCCGGAGTCCTCATCCGTGGAGGCAGTAGTTGTCGACCTGACTAAGTTTACTGGTTAGTGTTCTCATCCTTTGTTTCCAGGTCATACACTGTCCTCCTCTCGGTCGCTTTCACTCAGCGTAGGGCTGGGTAAGGTAGACGGTCTTCTGGTTTGCCGAATTTACGTCCTAACCAGCGTAACCTGAAGCGTGAGTAATTGATCTTTTGCGGGAGAGTTCCTGTTCTTAAATCTATCCAGCGAACCTTAGCATTTCTAATCCGATGTTCCCATCAGACCCGACCAATGCTTCGGAGCGGATGGTCAAACGCTGACATTTTCCCACGTCCCATGCGGTAGATGACACGCTTCTGGTCCATAAAGCAGTATGGATCGCATTGCCACAGTGTAAACCCTACCCCTACTAGACAAACCGACATCACACCAGCGCTATAGGTGTAGGAGGTTGGCAGAAGCTGCACTGGTCTTCCCGATTCGAGAAGCAATTTCATCTCCAGCCAGTTTACCAGAACGTATGCCATCTCCCAGGAGCATTTCGACTCCCGAGGTTTCGGAGGCAGGCAGAGAAATTTCAAGCACCACATCAATAACAAAGTTGAAGAGGAAAGTTTAGAGAGAACAGCGTTGTCTTCACCACTGGACGTGGTGAACTCAGGCGAAAGCTTGCCGTACACTTGTGCGCGCCCACAGGAGTTCGCATGCAGTGCCTTCATAAGGGGTATAAATCTAGAAGGGACGCCTCTGGTCACGAGATACCGCTCAAGTTTTTGACGACCAACAGAATCAAAAGCAGCTTTCAAATCCAGAAAAACGACCAACGTGGGACGCCTGCAAGAGTGGCGCTGTTCAAGAATTTGTCTCAAGGTAAAGATATGTTCGATGCATCCTCTACCGGGGCGAAACATAGGGACGCTGAAGAATCATTGATATGCCTTTTTGACGCCACAGGCGACCTAAATTACTGCATCATTAGCTGTAAGAACCGCGTGTGTGTCGTACAGTGGTTGTCGCTGCGACACTTTCGTCCATCGGTTATTCGGGTGGATAGGTTAGGTAGATGCGCTTTGGTGGCGGGAGCTGATGAGTTTGTGCGTAAGTACAGGTCTGTCAGTAGACTTTTAATTGGGGGGGGGGTTGGCAAGGGAACTGTGCGCTAAAGGCAGTAGCTTGGATGCACGAACACCACTGAGAGTGCGACTAGGCCATGCCTGACAATGTCTCCAACTATTGATGTGGTCCTTCTGGGGGTCCCCATCTATAGAGACGATTAGCACCAACACAGCTGAGTTTGCTGGTAATGACTTTCACACTTCGCTCCCAAGTCATTGTTTGACCCCTTCTGGCTCGTTTCCACCCTTCGCGTGATTCGAAGAAGTCGGTCGACTGGCATGCGCAGCATGTGACCAAGCCAACGCAACCTATGCAGTGTGACCAGTTCATTTATCGAGGGTGAACTATTTCTTCAAATTACCGTTGGATGTAATTCAGCATTCTTGATCTGGTGTTCCCACCAGACTCAGGCATTGCTCCGAAAACATCGATGCTCAAGCACTGAAAGTCTTTTGACGCCCTCTGCGCAGCAACCAGGTCTCTGACTTGTTTGGTAATATAGGTCGCACCGCAGTATTCTAAACTCGACCCTTGACGAATAAGCTGATGTCACACCTACGCCACAGGTGACGCAGGTTCACGAAAGATGCTCTGGTCTTCCCAATCCGGGTGGAAATATCATCTTTCGCGAGACCACGAGGACTGACTAGACAAACTCGTCTAGTACCTTAAGCGGTTCATCCGCAAGCATGAGGCTGGGGTTCGAGCGTACCCAGTCTTGCAGTGGCACTTTACACTTTGCAAGTGTGAAGCGCATACCAAACCGTAAGGCAAAATTATTTAGATTATTTGGTATTGTTTGCATCGTTACGGGGTCAGATCCAAGAAGAGCTATGTCGCCTGCGTACCCGATATCTGTAAGAGGATTCCCCGTGAGAAGTTTGACCCTACAAGCATTAGAGGCTGGTAGTGAGTCTTGATCTTTAGTCATGATCGTATCAATGACAAAGTTGAAGAGGAATGGTGAAAGAGGTCAGCCATGCCTGACACCGCTTGATGTGGTGAACTCAGGCGAGAGCTTCCCCTAGACCTTTACACTTCCGCTTGAGTCGGTGTACAGCGTCTTGAGGATGGTCATGGATTTATGGAGGACACCTTTGCTCCACAGACACTACCATAATGCCTGGCAGTTCACAGAGTCAAGTAATACCACCAGTGGAAGCACCATCACTGTTCTCGAATCTGTCGAAGGGTGAAGATATGATCGATGCATCCTCTTGCAGGACGGAACCCAGCTTGGTTTTCACCGGCCTGTCTCTCTTTGTGCTCAGTCAACCTTCGGAGGATAAGGCCAGAGAGCACCTCCGATGTCACAGTTAATAGGCTGATGCCTCGATGGCTTTCACACAGCGTCGTGAATCCCTTTTGAAGACTGAAATAACTGTCCACTTGTCCCATTCTGCAGACACTTACTCTTCACTCCAAGTCGCATCAGTGAGCTTTGTTCAATAGGTTACCAGGGATTCTTCGCCTTCTTTGAAGAGGGCTGGATAGAGACCGTCCAGTCCTGATACCTTCTCACGTTCCACTACGGTTATTCTGGATTTTATTTCTTCCGACGGGGATCTAAGTTTACCTTCCATTCCCCTGTATGTACTGTCTCCACAGGCTGGGTTGCAGGAGGCCAGATAAACTATTCTTCGAAGTGTTCGGCTCATCTTTGCAGTCGACGGTTTTGCGAGTGAATTATTTAGCCGTATTTTCCACTTATCGTTTCACTGACTGTTGCTCTCCTAGAGCCAGTCGATCGTATCATTTGGTATAGTACAAGGTTGTTTCCGGTAACAAAAGCATTCTCCACCTTCTGAGCTTTCGATGTCCACCAGAGCTCCCAGTCTTTCCTTGGGCTCTTCACTATTTGGCGTTTGAGGGATTTGCGCGCGCCTTCCTACTCGTTGCTTGCTGGTATCGATTTCCTCGCATCAGTCATGGATAGCTATCTCGACGACATCCAGTGGTCTTGTGGTCGAATTGGAAAAGTCGGGCAGGCAGCACTGAACGCCGCTAACATAGCTCATTTCACATTTTGCTTCATCCACACTGGGGGCGAGTTGGACCAAGTGGTTGAGGCGCGAATTTACTGACCGGGAGGTCCGTGGTTCGAACCCGACCTCTGTCTCTCGATTTCCCCTGTCTAGGCTTGGGCGACCTGGCAGTATCCCAGCCCTCGTGCCTCATTCGTGTGGCACGGCATCTGGGCACCGAAAGGGTGCTACAGCTGACAGTTATGTCAGTAGCATACCTGTTGCATTAGTAAGCCCGTCTTGATTGCATCTGGCCCGGGTGACAAGTTAACCTTGGGTAAGCACACCACCGTTCTTTGGAACAATTCTGACTGTACCGCAGGTTTAAGGCAACGAAATGGATAAATGGGACGGACCAACCTACGGTGACGAGATAACGGTCAAATTCCCAATACTCATCACTGTGTTCATTATCACCACACCAAATGTCCTCTTTGATGCATCGTACCCTAGTTTAGTGGAGTGAGTGAGTTGGTAACCACCATTCAAGTTGTCTGCTCACTCAAGACTAATTATTTTCATGGTGAACGAGAACTCCAGATCGACTAAAGCCAAGAGGAAGATATCTTTTCAGGGGAGGCACGAATCTTAAACGGTATTCTCAGGATTTTCCGGTGTGTTTATTGTAGACATCGAATAGCATAAGGGTAGTGACGCGTGGGACTTTTAGTTTTTAAATCGAAGTAAAACAGACTGCTGACTACTAGACTGCGAACTGAGTTTTGATTTCACCCTTGAGTTTGTCAAATGTGATTGATTGTTTTCAATCCAGGCCGGGCCTTCACTTAATAAATCTTTGCAAAATACCACTTCATATGTCCGCTTTTGCCTTTGTGAAATCCCTCGGGGTTTCCTTTTCCCTGACCGAGTCCCTCTGTGATTTCAGTTTAGTTTTCACTGTCATTTGCAGAAGACCTACTTAGAGGATATCCGAAGAAGTTTCTAACCAATTCTCTTTATTCACTCGAAATGTTTTCCAGGGGGTGGTAAACATCTCCACCAGTATTTCCCTATAGAATGGCTTCTGGTTTTGAGTTTTTTTTCAGTGGGATCAAAAAGTCGCTTTGATTTTCGGGTTGATTTAGAAAAGGGACGTCTTTTTGATGGTAGTTGTCGTTTAGTTTGTCATAGCTGGCACCTGGTCTGCTATTGTCAGTAGTCCAACTGTCATTTGTCTGTAACATTTGTGATGCTACCTGCCTATTAACATCATCGAAACACTGAATTTCTATACATTAAAACCTGTTGCTTCATTGTATGTCCATTGCAGTCACTTTTCCCCGCGACTTTCTCGCACATGGAATTTTCGGGAAGCAGCTTGGCCTACTTGGACTGGGTGACATTGTAGTTCCCGGGGTATTTGTTGCAATGCTGCTCCGGTTTGATCACAGGTGAGCCATTTTTCTCGTTATATCTGGCTGGCTATGAAACCAAATAGGTGGTATGGTTGTACGTTCTACAAACCGCTTCGCCGTCACGTGTGGGTTCTTCATGTTCTGGAAGATATCTGAATCTTCGCAGCTAAACCTTTCGAAATGATGCCATTTATCTGTTTCTTATCACCAAGCTTAGCATCTTACCGGCATTTTAGTCAGTCACTGCAGAGGGTATACATTAGTTGTTAAACACCACTCACAGGTTGTAAAACGTGAAAGCTCCGTATATACTGATATATATATATATATATATTGATTTTTCCCTATGAATGTCAGTTGAGTCCCTTTTTTATCTACCTGGGCTGCGTGCTTTGTCAACGATTTTGTACCGTATTTAGTTGTTGCTCGCTGGACTTCCGCCTTCTTTTACAAACACCCTAATATTTTTTGTTAAACTGCATCTGGACTTGATCTGAAGATGTTCGTTTGTAATTCAACTGAATCTCTCGTTCTTTTGTGAAAACTAAATTGGTATGCAAATCGGTGTATTTGTCGAAACCTGTTCAATTTGAGTTCAAGTAGAACACTAGGTTGACGGAACTTGGGTACTGTGTCTCAAGAATGGCGAAACCGTTCGTTGGCTGTCGAGGAGTTTTCGGCAACCTTGTGGGTAGTTTCCTTTATGGAAATATACTGTGATATCTCAGATATTGTACCAACCAAAACATGAGGCGGCTTTTGTGTAGCACATTCATTTGGAGAGTATCCTAGGTGAGAGATTCATTTGAGTCTTCCGTGAAAACCAGACTGATATGCAAGTGAACGTGTTTGTCGAAATGCTCATTAAACTCGAATTGCAGTGACCTGAAACGAAATCCTGTCGGATGGCACCATGGAGCTCATTTTTTTACTTTTGTGTGTTTCCGTACCAGCTGATCGAATTCCCATCTTCCTGTTCCTATAAATTCAAACTTGATTCCTGATGAAATTTGTTGGCTGCTGACCAAAAATCATTCAGTTTCACTAAGCGTGATTGATTGACGTAATGGTGGCAAACGTGGGTGGGTTTATGATTTTATCTTTCGGCGTATCTATTGGGCTTCAGACGAATGTTCCATATACCAGCAGTCATTGTACGTAAGCGAACTCCATCAGGATCGAACTCACCGTATTCTAATGATTGACACGAATGCTTGATGTCCAATATTAAACTGGGAACTTTTTAACGGCTCGTTATCCTCACTAGCTACTCTTTTCTAGCTCTAAAACCAGGCCACCATTTTCCTGACCGAACACTAGTCACAATGTTGCCGAAAAGTGTTTGACATCCCACTGCTGGTTTTGTCCCTCTTCGTGTTCATTACTTTGGCGCACTCCCCGAGTTTCCGTTCAGTTGAATCCCTTTTTTATCTACCTGGGCTGCGTGCTTTGTCAACGATTTTGTACCGTATTTAGTTGTTGCTCGCTGGACTTCCGCCTTCTTTTACAAACACCCTAATATTTTTTGTTAAACTGCATCTGGACTTGATCTGAAGATGTTCGTTTGTAATTCAACTGAATCTCTCGTTCTTTTGTGAAAACTAAATTGGTATGCAAATCGGTGTATTTGTCGAAACCTGTTCAATTTGAGTTCAAGTAGAACACTAGGTTGACGGAACTTGGGTACTGTGTCTCAAGAATGGCGAAACCGTTCGTTGGCTGTCGAGGAGTTTTCGGCAACCTTGTGGGTAGTTTCCTTTATGGAAATATACTGTGATATCTCAGATATTGTACCAACCAAAACATGAGGCGGCTTTTGTGTAGCACATTCATTTGGAGAGTATCCTAGGTGAGAGATTCATTTGAGTCTTCCGTGAAAACCAGACTGATATGCAAGTGAACGTGTTTGTCGAAATGCTCATTAAACTCGAATTGCAGTGACCTGAAACGAAATCCTGTCGGATGGCACCATGGAGCTCATTTTTTTACTTTTGTGTGTTTCCGTACCAGCTGATCGAATTCCCATCTTCCTGTTCCTATAAATTCAAACTTGATTCCTGATGAAATTTGTTGGCTGCTGACCAAAAATCATTCAGTTTCACTAAGCGTGATTGATTGACGTAATGGTGGCAAACGTGGGTGGGTTTATGATTTTATCTTTCGGCGTATCTATTGGGCTTCAGACGAATGTTCCATATACCAGCAGTCATTGTACGTAAGCGAACTCCATCAGGATCGAACTCACCGTATTCTAATGATTGACACGAATGCTTGATGTCCAATATTAAACTGGGAACTTTTTAACGGCTCGTTATCCTCACTAGCTACTCTTTTCTAGCTCTAAAACCAGGCCACCATTTTCCTGACCGAACACTAGTCACAATGTTGCCGAAAAGTGTTTGACATCCCACTGCTGGTTTTGTCCCTCTTCGTGTTCATTACTTTGGCGCACTCCCCGAGTTTCCGTCAACCCCAATTTCTACTTCAACCCAGATTGTACCCAATTCTCGAAATGCGCTCGTTTTCAGACCAGTTTGATTTCAACGTTAATTTTGACATTAATTACTAGTATGGTAGTTTGAATATCAAACGTTCGAAATCACCACAAAGCAATCATCTACATGGTTAACTAAAACATAAGTACATGGATTTCTGATGTGCATTCGATTTATCATACCTTCCACGCTAAGGATAGACACCTTTTACTGTTGGGCATTTTGACGCATGTCAACAAAACACTTGAGGCAGGGATACCTCACAGTTGGGGACGTTGTAATTCTCCTGATTAGCATCCCTTATTTACAAGTACTACTATGTGGCGTTAAAAGGGGCCTTTCGCACTTGGACGTTCTGTGTCATTTCGAGCGTTCAGGAATCAAAGGCACGAGGATGATTATTTCCATATTGGATTCAACCGGTTTTATCCTGGATGACTTCTGAGAGTTTTTATGAGAAAGAATATCCTGGATGTATGCTGAGTAGCATGTGCGAGTCTAATGCGTTTATATCTGTTCCATTCAAAACACGGTCTCAACGGTCTGCAGATATTCGCTTCAATGTACGTAATCCCTTCGTTTTGACTTTGTTATGCCGACGTTTGAAACAAGCGACTAAAAGAACTTTCTCTGATACTGGAGGTGTTTATGGCTAGCCCTTCACCGAGAAACCCTACGGGTGATTCCTGTCCGCAATCCTTGGAAGTATTTCCTTTGTTATTGGAGTGAATGTTATCTGGCGACACAAGCCGATTTCGGGACTTTTTGATTCCAGTTAGTGCGTAAATATAAGCCTTGCTGTTGTGGGCTGGGCTACCTGAAGAATTAACAGTCTGGTGACACAAATATGAAAACCGTATTTCGACATCTATCTAGAGAATCCGTAAGTCCAAGTAGGTGCTACTGACAAACGTGTTGCCCGATCCCGAATCACATCTACTTCAGAATAAATTGGTAGCTGTTTCCTTTAATTTGATTGGTTTTATTTCGCTCCTACTTTCAGTCTAAACCGATCTGGTAGTCTCAAGTACTTCTACACAGGCTACGTCGCCTACATAATCGGCCTGCTCACCACTTTCATCGTGATGCTTACATTCAATGCGGCCCAGGTGAGAGATATTTTCATTTCACTAGAAGTTCTGTTGCTGTTGCAGTAAACTACTGCCCTTAAGTAGGCTTACTTGCTATTTTTGTCGCACAGGCCGAATCTTGTTTCCTAGGTGCGGAGAGGTAACACTACGACCATTTCCAGTTAGACTTCAGAGGACGGTAACACTTCCTGAAACGGTTCGATGATGTCAGAGCGCTGTCTCGTGTATGCACTCTGTCTGACCACTGTCTTATTAAATTGACTGTCTCCCCGTTGTGATTTTGGACAAATACGGGGAAATTTAATCCATCCTGATTGATTACTGAGGAGCTTCCTCATAGATCTTCTGGCTTGAGCTCGTCCCATTTGAGCCCGGAGTCGTTTTGATATTAACTACGGACAGATTACTCGGTCTCCTTGGTTGTCGTTGTACTAATTTAACCATGTACTCTCCCGTTACCACAGTAAAGTCGATTACTTTATCCCTGGCTTGAATACGGGTGTTCCTCGTTTCCTTGAATAGGTTTTGGATATGCTACAGTGCTTCACTCCCATGGGAATGTCACCGGAGTATCTCGATGGGGTTACTTCATTTTGAAAATGTTGACTGGTATAGGCCATCTTTAACAGCCTCCGCAATTGGTTAAAGCAATTAAGTGTTTTCACTTTGGATATTCATTTAGAACGCATTTAGAACGGAGTGCGTGTTCATTCAAAGTATGTAGGCACCTTTATCCTTATTAACTTCCTCTAATTATATCTCATACGCTTTCCCATTTTTCTTTGGCCGAAACTGCGGCAAATGAAACCAACGCAAACCCGGTACATTTTTTCGAGTTGAGAAACTGACTGACTTACCAAGGATATGAATATTTGCATGAAAGCCCCCTTCCCTCTACAATTGTCCTCACAGCCGTATAGCTTATAAACTGACGATTACGCGTTCATACAGGATGTTTCAGTATTGATACCTATAAGTTATTCAACTCAATCTAGAAGTCGAATGTTCGTAACACGCGAAGTTTCACCCTCATACATTGTGAGCTGCGTATCCAAGAGTGCACCAACAAAGTAACCTCGATGCGGTGAGTTATAACCGTAGAGAACTTGAGTACAGAGTATGCGTCACTGGACAAAAAACTCCCAGCTCTTTCAAAATATGGTAATCTACCTTCGTATATCATATGGCAATTTTGGTTGAGAGGAGACCAATGGTACGAATACTTTTGACGGGGATGTTTGCTACCTGCCCCTGGGTGGAGCAACGCTTGATTGGTCGTTGGAAATCTAATAGATCTCGGGCTGTCATGCGATCGTTCACCATACTCTTCGTTGTAAATATGTAGTACAGTGGTGCGACGTCCCTCCATGTGCCTAATCCTGACTAAAATGTTGACTAGGTCAGTTAGATGTTGCAGGTAGATTGCGAGTTACAACAGCCGTGTGGCTTGAATTTGGGCCATTCGGAAAAGCACTGACTCCCATCGTAGTGTTTCCTTCTGGAGTGTAAGTCACTCATTTCGGAAACAAGAAATATAGGTATAATTGTGGATAGTTTACCTCTCCGAAAGATCGCAATAGGAAAAATTCCGCACCTTAAGTAGGATTATTCTTTGTGAAGGTAGTTTCAGTGCGCAACTCAGATTGCTTGAGAGTGAACTAGAGTTCTGTTGTTAAACACATTCATTTTAAGAATTCCCTTGGGTTCGTAGCCTTTCGTCTCCCCTCACCCGCGAGTTCCCAAGTACAGTAATCATTGCATAAGATGGCGATACGTTAGAACTGTAAAGTTACTTGATCAACTGTGAAATGTTGGCTAGTTATCTCAACGTTTGGCTCGTCCAATGGATAGTGTAGGTCGTTGAGTACAGAGGTGATAGCTCAGACAAGAGAACAGGATTCAAATGTCCACTGTCTGCCTTCGGTTTCACCTCACGCTTCTCACGGTACTCGTCGGTATTACGGACAAGCTTTCCGATCACATTGTAGTATGGTAGTCCGCTGGTCTTTCTGCTGCTTGGTATTTGAATATACTACGCAAAGGACTAGAAAGTTATTCAAAAGGATACAATATCGTGACCTCTTGTCGAACAACTGAGTCAAGAAAACCAACTACAGACTGCGCATTCGATTGAAATGGATTGTGTGGTCAACCCGTCTTCGCATTTACAGTTCTCCACAATATACCGAAGACCGTTTGATTAGGATCTTTAGCCGTGTTCGACACAAAATCGACCCATACACGCCACCCCACATTTGGCGTTCGGAGTAGATTGGTTCGAGCTCTTAGGTCGCCCTCACCCCTACTAATTACCATGACTACCAAACGCTCAGGTCCTCGCATTCCTATCTAATTGGATCTACTGTACATGTTACTGCTTCACGATACGTCAAGCAGTATTATAATATATATATATATATATATATACTGACGAAGGCCTCGCGAAGCATTGTTTTTTATACTCTCTGGTGAATAGGATGGTATCCTAAACAAAAATCGTTGGGAATGCGGGTCGAATAACAGATTTATTGTGTTCATTTCAGCCTGCTCTCCTCTACTTGGTCCCCACATGTCTCGGCTTCCCATTAGCGCGGGCCTGGTTACAGGGTGATCTCGCCGCTATGTTTGCGTAAGTATCGTACTTCTGCTCCGCATGTTTTGGCAATTCATTTTTTAAATTTTTTTCACCAAGCCCAGATTGATCGTTATTGAAATGCCCTTGAATCACATTGAATACGACGGTTTGGTACGCTGATAAAGCTGAGCGGCGGATAACTTACAAACAGTGTGAGTAATGTAACCCCATGCACGACACCTGAAAGGTTGTTCGAGAAGGTTTCAGTAATTTTGGCGCTCTCAGTTCGGTGTGACACTTTCGGTGCTGCAACTGAAGCTGGGATACCGTCAGTTTGCCTAAGCCTAGGCGCAGGAGCAGTCAAAACCTGGGTTGAGTTCGAACCACGGGCCTCCCGGTCACTAGTATCTCTCCCTAATTGTTGAACTACGTTGAGCTGATGCCGAAGCATACCCCTTGATACCGTGAAGAGAAACTGAATGCACTTTGTAACTTGAGAGGAAAATACTAGCATAATCCAATAAAAAGTATGCAGAACTGCTGCATCGCAGTGGTGATGAATGATTAGTCATCATGCTGTGAAATGTGCTGACTTTCGAACTCAGTTCGTTCTTCCTTCAAATGGCTGTAACTGATCAATTTCTTCCGGTTACTTGATGTTCTTTGTTTCACTCTTTCAGTTACGAGGATGTCCCTCAAGAAAACACGGACAAGAATATCATCGCCGATACTCAGTCTGTAATTGACAAAAAAGGAAACTAATCACGTTTCTCACTTCATTATGAACTGGATTTATCTGTTTCTTTTCGCCCTGATCTTGTCAGTATGTATTTCCACCTCTTTGGCGTGGTCACTTCTCTTGTGTCGTCTTGTTTATTGTTCTTCATCTGTGGTGAGGTTGAGCTATTTACACGTACCTCGTGCTCATTAAAAACAGTCACTGATGGTTTTATCTACTTTGGGAATATGATCATTTACATGAGTTTACAGCCCGTTTTAAACGGAATGACATGGAAAGGATCACCCTAATACCAGCGGGTGAGGGGTCTTTCGTACTGATTCCGAAGTTGCTTCGATTTTACTTCAGTTTAGTGAAACGAATGTGTCAATGTAAAGCAGCTCACACCTTATCTGAGCTTCGCGACCGGGCTTACAATCGTTAAGTGTAAGGATTGTCTGTTATGTGAACCATAATACCCAAACCGTACTGGAATCTACCGTGTAGGCACCTGATCAGGCGTGATGGAAAATCTTAAATGAATTGCTTTAGGTCACACTGACTCTCAAATCCAAGGTCTGCGAGTTGGAACGGTTTAAGAATAACTATCTTCTTGCAGTCGACTATCTTACAAATGATAAGCCTGCTGAATTCGACGGTCTTCTGCCGTCATTTGTTGCTAAGCTTGATGGGAGTCAGATAATTTCAATTGAGTCGGACTGTGGGCGACACCGGGACTGATGCTGTCTCCTATTCAGCCGGAGTGGACCCTTATAAGCCCTCGAATTTGATGTTTGATACTAAGGCTCTTGAATCTTCCAAATAGGTTTTACAACCAAGCGTCAGCTGCATTAGGCCGTCCAAATGTCTGGGCTTTAAAGATAACGTAGACATACTGCTGACGACTGCTATTCGTGACCGCTCCCACAAACCACCGAGCCACGACTAACCACAACAGTCTTATGACCAGCAAACCACAGCAACTGAATCAGAGGTTGTGCGCAGGGGAAACAATACGACAGACGAACGTAGACTAGCGTTACATCCCAAAATGAAAAAAAACGGGAGAACTAGCTGTGCGAGAAGCGAGGGATGGACAAGAAACCTAATTAGCTGCCCAAGGCCTGTAAAACGATAAGCCGCTATCCGGTTGCTCGCTGATTATGGTACCTTGAATGGTGACTGGTTACGCAGCAAAATTGCTGAGCTCAGCCATCAAGCCCCGGCACACTGATCCCAGTTTACACATGCTACTAGCTCCACGACCTATCCGAAGTTGATTGAAATTGATTGTCCGCATATGCCTGTGGATGCCCACTGCTGTAATTCTGTCAAATCTGAGCAAAACCTAAGAAGCGTTTGTCTATACACTAACCGCTCGGTGGCGACCTAGTCTCTACTGAACAAGTGCAAAAATCTCTACTGAGGACTTTTGATGCAATGCGGTTAACTGTCTGTCTCCACAGAAGCGGTTTGCTCATCGAAAACACCGGCGACGGTTCACGATTCTTTTTTTCATTCAATTGTGACCATAGTACAGGACGAGTCGTAAAACAAGATATCCGTCACAAGGAATATCTGGGAGCGAACCGGCTTGAAATGGAGTGGGACAATCAAACAACCCAACATTGCTCACTCATCTGACAATAACAACCAGGCTGACAGTCCGGTTTACCCGTACGCCATCACATCAGCCAAGATCTTACAGAAATATGTGCTGATGGGATTCTAGGCCGTTTGTTTGTTCTTAAAAGCAGTTCACGTCACCAATCCTAATCACGCTTCTGGATCAGCCCAAGGGAAACAACAGTTGTTATTTTGTATTACTACTGAGCAACCGTCTTTTCTTTCCAAACCGCGTTTTAACGGTGGATCGATGGAAAGGACTTATTTTTGTGGCTTGAACTTGAGTTTTATGGATGAAATCTTGTTCAGGATCTTGAGCCAGGTTTACCGAAGAACCCATCACTGAATTCTGAGGACCGGTGTGCGTTCACTGCCCAAAGGTTGCAGAAATGGTGGCTCTTGCTTTGCCTCCATTTTTGTTGCCCAATCCGTAGTCGTTTCAGTTTACAACGGGAAAATCAGAGTGAATTGGAGGTACAAGAGTTGTGGTCTCCGTGCACCACACTACACCTTGGCTTAGAAAAATTAATCACTGGATCTGTGTGAGTATCCCTCCAAACATGGATGATACTTCTGTGTTCAGATTAAAGCCGTTGGGCTAGCTTCGGAAGACTCCACTAAAATAAGCCAATTGAATGCCACATGCTGAGAGGAAAAAGGGAACGACTACCAACACTCAAGCTAGGAAGTTCGGTTTCGACCTGGATAACATGTTCACTGAACAGTTGACTGGGTAACACTGTCAGGATCTGGTGTTTATTGTTAAACCCCGCTACATTCACCAGTTGTCTCCATCTCTGAGCTGATTAATTTGTATCAGTTAGACTATTGGGAAACAAGTTACTCAATTTGCGGGATCGTAACAAGATTCCCCGAGGTTATCTTGTTGGTAAAACCTACTTGGTTAAGCTTGAAGCCGCCCTGAGGTCGGTGCTTTGTTATTCGCTACTCCTGTTTAGCACCTGTTCACTCACATAAATCGTGACGACAGGCAGTGTTCGCTCGCTTGTTGTGACTTGGTTCTAACGACAAACGAGTTGCAGCTCTTCTTCGGTGGTACAATAACACAGTGGTGCCAGGCCGCTCGTTTCTATCCTAAGACATGTTACCATTTGACATTCCGCAGTCACACAGGGGGCCAAATTGGTCCCATCCCCGAATCTTGAACTTAAAAAACCGTGAAAGTACGTAGCTGTTTTTCCAGCATGTAGGACAGTATCTATGTATGATTGGCGTTCCAAAATCTGTTAACATTCCACACTATTGTAAGGCGCAACAGGGATCACTGCAACAACAAACAAGACTGAATGATGGCAAGTCGATGAGGTTTTGCCGATTGACCTCAGCTGGTGTCACAAGATAACACTCCCTGACTCATAAGAGTGCCACTACTCAACCAATTGTGTCAGCCCTTTGGTGATTTTTGTCTACCCTTCTGTTAGTGGGCTGTATGAGATTAATTCGCTCCATATGCCCCGTCTGTAGGGTAGCTGCTTTAGCTGTCGAATTAGTAGTGGACGAGGAACGTTGTTAATCCCACCCGGTTCATCTTGGTTCAGAGTGATTGGTATAGCGTGATTGAATTGTGCACCAACATCCATTAGGACAGTCATTCATTGAACCAACGACCATTTCCGATTCGATGTGCACGGCATTTGCACTACATCAGCTTGTCTGCTAAGAGGGTCCGAAAGGCTATAGAGACCGGCCCAAACTAATTTCGTATTTTAGAGAACATCACTTTTGTTACCCATCATTTAAAATTTTTGGGCATTGAATCCTCTTGATCCATTTCGCCAGAACGGTCAGAAGACAAGTTGTGACATGCCAACCTTTCAGATTACTTTCATCCGCTGCAGACGTTAAACACTTAACACTTCTAGATAAGGAACGACAGACTATCCTGTGAAAGAGGCGGTTCGGGTTCAAGTTCAGGGCGGTAGGACACAATTAGGGTTGCTGAGCCCCTATCAACAGTGCTTCGAAAAAAACGCCAGTAGTTTCGGGGTTGGATAGCTTAGCAGTAGGTAAAAACACTAAAATGGTCAGCTAAGTGGTATGTCCCAGAGATATGTTTTCCAGCTGATGACCACTACGATCTGGCTGTTAATGGTGTTGAGTCGCACTGCAAAGATCACAGTAACTGATTTTTAACACGTTCCGAGAAGGCCGTTTTAATAAGTCCGTTGACTTTTATAATACGTTACATTCTCATTTACGGAACTGACAGCACCGTTCCAGTTATGTACAAATAGGGTCATAGTGCTCCTTATGTTCTTGAGGTAGCTCCTGTCCGAGGTTTTGTGCATAACAGTCCCGAAGAGAAAGGATGCTCCTAATTGAGCACTGGCTGCTGATAACCTTTCATTTTTCTCACTGTCTTTCTAAGAAAAATGGGAAGAATTGGTTATCAAGTTACCTTCCACGGTTCCATTCAGTCATTTATTGTTAAACTTGCACAGATTGGAAATGTAAGATCATGATGATCCTTCACAATAACTCTTCTGATCCCTTCATAACATGATAACAGCAAGTCGAGCAATCCGGAACACTCTGCTCGAACCTTTTAGCTTCACTCAACACCATCTCTTTTCATTCGCGATTTCATAGGAATTGACACGCTGAATTGACTTTGTTTCCTTTAGGTTCTAGGAAGTCAGATGGGCTCTCGTGTTTTCGGATATTTCAAACCCTGAGATATCTGCGGATGTCTCGTACAAGCCTGATCCTCAACTATACACTGAAGGGCCTGTTCACGTAGATGTTGCCCCGGTTATTTCTGCCCTCAGCGACTTTCAATTAGGAATGCTGTTTTGCCTTGTACTATGGTTTCATAGGTGCTCTAATAAGAAAGATTGATTTGTACGATGCTTGCCAAAAGTCTTGACTCGGCTAATTTGACGTCAGTCGATCGGTCACTTAATTTGGAGTCTCTGTAGACACGCATAATTTCTCTGTCAGTAGAAAAGTTATGTGCTTTCCTTTCCAGAGTCAAATGAATGATTATTTGGCGCATATTGTGACCCTGGAGCATCGATGACTGAATTTCCGGGCACTAGTCCTACCGAATGCAGCCCATGGAGACTAATCTATCGGACCCAGACGATGGTTTCAGTGGTATTCCGCACACTCTCAGAAAGCAGCATGATGATACGGGATTCGGTTCATCCCGGTACAATAAAGATCGATCATGTATTCTTCATAAAAAAATACCGCTTTGAGTGATGTCCGAAGGAAAAATTTGAGCGTTTTCAGTTGAAAATGACAAAAGAATGGTATATGATCGGTGCATCAACGAGACAGTGTTGCCCAGCCTGTTTACTTTGGTTAGGGTGATTCGTTTTCCTGTCCGACTGAATTTTATTCGAACATGACGCTAGAAGATCCTAGCTTATTGATGACATCTGACGTGACTCTTCCGAGTGAAACGGACTGCCAAGTTCACATGGGCCTACTCTCTGGGAATTCGTCACCCCAGCAGCTGATCACCGTCAATCCAGCTGGAGAGAGCCGTGTGCAATCTACTCGTGATGCTGATCAGCAACCCATAATTTAATGGTTTACCGACCAATTGCTAGCTGGCTCAACAGCTAGTGAGATGCGCTCTACTGGTGACTCTGAACTCGGACAAAGTAGTAGCAGAGC